CAGGAATGCAGTGCTCTGTTAGACCGACCAAACAAGCCAAGAACAGCAGCACAGCAAGCCTTCCTCCCAGCACCAGCACCCGCACTGCCCCCCCCCCCCCAAAAAGTATATAGCAAGATTCTCCAGCAGGACAAGGCTTTGAAGGACATTGGCTTAGAAGTAATGTTACTGTTTCCTGCAAATAATGACTGCAGTTCTATGGGGACAGGGCATTAACAGCTAAATGGATTTTTCTTTAGATGACAGTAAGGGTGGGTTACTTGGTTCCAAGGAGGCACCCACCAGGGAGTTACCTTGTTTCAGAGCAGCAGGCTCCATTCTTCCACATGCATGGAATAAACAGTATTTTCTTTGCAAACTAGCTCTTGCCTGAAGCTATCTCTGTTCAGGCTGTGATCTCATCTGATTGCAAAAGCTAACAGGGGTTAGGCCTGGTCAGAATTTAGCTGGGACACCTCAAGGGGAAAAAAAGAAGTGCTGTAAGACGCAGTGTTGGCAGTTTAGTAGGTGATGCTGCTTCCTCTAAGTCAATAATGTTCCATGAGAGAGGTTAAACTGGCAGGGGATGGCTAGAGGCTGCTGGATGAAATATAAAATGGGTATCCTGACAGCCTGTGGCATCTGTTTTGAGGAAGATGGTAATCTTGATGTCCTAGGCAAACAAATCGTATCAGCCTAAGTTTCTCTGATAGCCATCAGTGAAAACCACACTGTATTGTAAGATGTTCCACCCCAGAGAGGCTGAATTTCTGTAGAGGAAATAGACTGTTGCAGTTATCTGTAAAGGTGTGAGTGAGGTGGAAGTAACTGTTCGTAAGTAAATATTTTACTGTGTTTAGAATTCTTAATCTCTTTTGAGAACAAAGATTTTTATTACAAAGTACCCAAAACTTTTCCCAAGCCGGTTTTCCTATGAAGCAAGGTCCTATTTATTTTCATGTCTGAAAAATTCTCAAATACAAACAAGTGAATAGAAAATTAAAGTGCTAAATTATTTACAGGGAATGCCTGTATGAGATGTCTGGTGTGCCAGTGCTCTAGGGCAGACTGAGGTGGTCCTCCCTCTCAGACTGTCCCAGGTCCCACTCAGTCACTAGTTCTGAGGACACCTCTGTGAAGAGATGGTCCCAATCCCAGCTGACATCATCCTACCAAAAGGAAAAAGATAAACATGCTGAAATGTTGCTGATGACACCCAAAGGTCTCTGAACAATGGCAAATATTCAAGATGAACAGCAAAGAAAGAAACTAAATGGTAACTGCCCCTGCCAGGGAAGTCCCAGATTCACTTGGCTAGAACAGGAATCCTAGCCAGAATGAAATGCTACAATTTAAAGATTTTGACCAGATTATTCATGTTGCAAAATTCCATAAAGGACAGATTTTTTGATAATTATTAATCTTAGATACTCCCAGGCAGGATGTAAAGAGAAGTCATAAAAATATTCCACCCTTCTGCACTTCTGCTAAAGCATCTGCAATTCTGAGCTGCAGAAATCCTTTGTTGCAAGTCCTGAGCTCCTGTCCCCCACCCAGTTGTACTGAGGTTGTTCTGTCCTGCTTTAACACATCCTTCTGCTCCAACCCCAAATGCTTTCTGCTTTTGTCCCTCTGTACTGCCCTGCAGAAATACCTGGAGCTCATGGTGGCTACCAAAAGGCAATACACAGGGCACTGTTTCTGCAGGGATCTGTGACAGTGCTAGACCCTTCACATTTTCCTTACTAGCTCATTCATACGGAAGGGCACCAATCATAGTGATGCCACAATCTTGCACAGAGAAAGCCCTATATATCTTTAAAATAATCTGCTGGGGAAGTCAAACCTCCATCTACTTGGACAAGCTCTTCTTCACAGGCTGCTCCTCATCTCTCTCCTCCTCCCCACCAACAACGGCTTACTTTCCAAGTACAGCCTGAGACACATAAGCTTTTGCCGTGTTGGTGTTCCCACAAACGAAAGACTCACCTCTCGTAGTTCATGCTCCGGAGCCAAAACTTTGGTGAGAAGCTTCAGGTCAACCTCTCCATCCTATGAACACACAGAGTCACAATCTTACAGACAGTGAGAAAGCAGACACCATCATTTCACCAGGTAGGTCTTGCTAGAGATAGGCACAACATTTGCATCGTAAGGGACACACACTTTGTCCAGGACAACAGCAGGAGCCCCATCTGAGCAGCAGATGCCATACACACACTATTTACAGACACAAATAAGCATGAAAGCCACACTGCAGAGAAGAGACTTGAAGACAGACTGGAAGTTGTTTGGATGATAGGGTTGTGTATTTTATGCAGCTGAGTATCACTGTGGAGGATGATGGGAGCCTGGAAGGAGAGGGAGTCACATCAGTCACCCCATAGCAACATCCACTTACCAGAGTCTGAAAGGCAGCGTACTTCATAAGATCTTTGTCCAGGTCATGGTAGGTCAGGACTCTGTTCACCTGCACACTGCAAGCAGAAAGGGTTCAAGAACAAGCTTGGGTAAGTGTGGAAGCACATCTGAGGAGAAGGGTGGCATGAACAGGAATCTGGTGACACTCATCTCAAGTGTCATGCATGTGGACTCTCGAGATGGTTGTCCCCAGACAGAAGCAAATCTCATTCAGCAAATAAACAGTCACTGATAAATCTGCATGCCAGGCTGTGCACATGCATAAAAATGGATGTAGAGTGACCACAGACTCCCTCAGAGAAGCCAGCATGCCAGAGCAAAGATCCACAGACTAGCTGCAAGGGCCAGAAAGAAAACAGGAACATAGGGAACAGCCCTAGCAGGCTCTGAGAGCCCCACCATACAAGCTACAGAATCATAGGGACCTTGTGATTTCCATGTCTGAGCTGAGTTACAGATACCAAATACAATTTCCTAAAACATAGCCTCCAAAGAAAAACACAGGGTAGGGGAGTAATACACTGTTGTGCCATGCTTCCCTTTGCAGGTGATGCAATACTATAGAAAAGACCTATAGTAATTTAATTTCTGTTTGTGTTTGTCCATGAAAATTACTTTTCTATTGCAGGGAGACTATGGATACAGGAGGAAAAGATGGGATTATAAAAAAAGAAGAGAGAAAACAAAGATATGAACTCTGATGAGAGACATAGTAATTTTAAGTTTTCTACTATAAAGTGTCATTTATTTTTGTTAACAGCTGTTTAATTACAATACCTACTCCATAACTGTGAGAGAGGCAACTGTGGTCAGGAGTAAGATATCCCACCCCTTCAAATAAGGGTCAGTAGAAATCCCAGCCTGTGATCTTGGCCATAGGCCCAACAGGGGAGAGAAGACTTTTCTGACACACTTAAGATAAAACCCCCAAAACTTTAATTTTTTTAAAACTTGGTCTCCCTTGAGCTAACCCCAAGACTATTCTGGTAACACCTTCAAACAACAGGATTGTACTTTGCAAATTAACTAGGCACTTGAGCAAGAAGGATATCCTGTGGAGGGCAAAGCAGCCTACAACTGCATAATCAAAGTGTGTGTGATGATAATGTGTACTGGAGGCATTTGAGGTTATGCAGGCAACCTTAAATCAAGCAATTCTGAACTTTTGAGAGTTTGGTTTTGCAACATCAAACATGCTATTCTAAAGTAGGTTTTGTATATAGAGAGTGAATATGCAGTAATTGCTTTCTCTGTGTAATAGCAAGCAAGAAGCCCCGCT